TAGACAGAAAGTCCAAGTTGATCCAGATCTTCAATCTGTTCCTTAGAAAGACTCTTACTGTTTCAGATCCTCAATCACCTTCAGTTCTTCACCTCTGACCATGCAGCCCCTCTCTCTCAGGTAAGACTGATAAGTGTGTTAAGCACATATGTCATTTTAATAGCACTGTTTAGTTAGAATTCACTCCCGAATCCTGGCCTTGGGTGGTTGCCCTTGAGAACGACTTACCCCAGAGTAACAATGGGGTAACTTGCCTCCTTCCATCCTGATGGGAACCTATGACTAAATTCTACAAGCACTGGGGAAAAATAAAAGGTGGAATCGATCAGTGTTAAAAATGGAAAGGAGTCCTAGAGTTAACCCAATTCAAAACTTCCTGCCCCGGTAGTTGGAAACACGATCCCAGCCTCTGCTGGCACCGTTGGTAGTTGCCAGAGGTGTAGGGCTTTTGTTTTTTTAAACTACTCACTGCAGAGCTAGTCAGCAGCCAATATGTCCAACAGAAACAACACGCCGCCCAGCAACCTGCCACAGTTACAGAAATCTGATCAAGTGGGACCCGCCGGCCTACGCAGAGGCGTTTCTACAACAGTATAATCACTACAAATCCAATGTGGAGATGTTCAGATTACAACCAAATAAACTCAGCAAAGAACTGGCAGAGCTGGTGATGTTTATAGCACAGATTGGTCACTGCTGCCCAGAACATTTAAGGGACTTGTCCTCAAGAGTTGAAAGATGTTCTCTCCTACAATCACACCGTGTTGGATCCAGATCTTCGAATGACATTTTGCAAAGCTTTGATCTTGCTGAGGAATAAGTATCTCATCCATCAAGTTTGCTACAACTCTTCTCTGAACTTCGGCGCTGCCATGATAAGCTTCTGTGAAAGACTTTATACACGCTATTGTGACTGATATATAAGTGCAAGACACAAGAACCAGAAAGTGAACGGAGTGTGGCAGAATTTTATGTACACCATGCTAAGAGACAGCAATGCAGCTGCAGCCACCATATCCTGAGTGATGACTGAACTCTACAGAAGAAACATCTGGAATGATGCCAAAACTGTCAATGTGATCACAACTGCATGTATCTCTAAAGTCAACCAAGATATTATCTGCTGCTCTGACATTCTTCCTTGGGAAAGATGAAGAGGAGAAATAGGACAGTGACTCAGAACCTGAGGATGAAGGACCAACAGCAAGAGACCTGCTAGTGCAGTATCCACGGGGAAGAAAAGCTCCAAACACACGAAAAGCTTGGAAAAGGCTATGAAACTGCTCAAGAAACAAAAGAGGAAACAAAAACCAGAGGTGTTTAACTTTTCCGCTATTCACGGGATTCATGATCCCCAAGATTTTGCCGAAAAACTACTAAAGCCGCTAGAGAGCTCTAAGGAGAGATTGGAAGTGAAGATGATGCTCATGAACCTCATTTCCAGATTGATGGGAATTCATGAGGTTTGAATCACATCGTTTCTCTTGGTGGATATTAGAAATAGAATTATTCTTGGTAAAAAGAAAGCCACTAAGGTAGACTGGCTTAATTTTATCCCCCCACCATACCCCCAAACATTTAAATCCATAAAATTTAGAGAAGAATAAAATACTTTACTCTGGGAAAAACAAAAACAAAACCAGAAAATTTCCTGCTTCAATTTTACAAATGAAAAACTAAAAGAAGTTGATAATGGTGCTTTATGAAATGTAGTCTGGGAGCTGGAAAATAGTACTTTGAGACAAGTTTTCTCAGGACAGAGAGGTCCATTTGTTTTCTTTATACGTCTGTTATTTTTCTTAATTGGAACTGAAGCCAGGAATGAGACCTATAAGGATGTGGAAAGAGAAAACAAATTTCTTTATTTTGTCCTTCAACAACTTTTTGATCTATTGAATGCTTATCAATTACATGACCATGGGGGGACAACTAAAACCAAGGATTAAGGTGGATAAGACACTGACAGGTGTCAAGTACAGAATATTTTTCAATCAGGATCCAGGAGTCCCCAACAAATAAAATCTCTTGATACCTCATAGAGGCAGCGTCTGACAGCTCAGGTCAATGGCAAGAGGGAGACTTAATCAGTTTTTCAGAAATGAACTCCTGTGGCATAGTCCCAGAGACACCAAAACTCATAGAATAGAGACACAAGTCCTATTAAGATACTCAAGGTCGAAAACTGGGAACTTGAGACTGCAGAAGAGCAATCACACCTACACACATGCCATGTGAAAACAAGAAATGAGTGAGTTTTTAGTTCACTGGGATAAAATGGGGACACACACAAACTCAGGTGCTCATATATGCTGTACCATGTATCAATCTTACTGGGCATAGGAGACCTTGGGTTAAGTACCAGCTCTGGAAGTAAACTGCATTGAACCCCAGCTATCATTCAAAAGGTAGAAGTAAAATACCAGAGTGAAATTTTGGAAAAATATGAAGTATATATGTAGCATTTTCAAATCATTGTTATTTACACAGAACCTTAGGGTCTGGAAAATATTGTTGGGCCACACTTCCCGTGAGGCTCAAGAAACTCCTTTTTTGGAGGGGCGGGGGGCTTCAGACTTGCAGTTGGTGTGGAAGAGAGAGAGCAAACATGGAACTGGTGGGTTCCTTTTAGAGAACTAGGAGAGGTAAATAAATAAGAGGAAGGAATAAAGAACAATGAAGAGAGCTAACATAAAAAAAAACATTCTACCTTACATTTCCATTTAGAGATGGAAGGAATACTCCGATAAAAAGTCAGCTGTGCAAAGAGACCAAAAAACAGTTCATGAAAGAAAAAAAAATCACAGTCAGTAACAACTGATCACATAGTCAAACACGAGAAACAACCGTGCAAGGGGTTACAGCAAGGAGAATAAAAACTAAAAGTACATGCTGAACACTTATAATTCTCAAAAACATAAAACTGAGTAAATGAAAGCAGACACAGAAGAGTACATACAACCTGTTTCTAAAAAACGCAAAACGAAGCAAAACAAACGTGTGTCCGTGTGAAGAAGTTATCGCAATGGGGGAGCAGTGGAAGGAACCACAAAGGGGTGCCTGGGCAGCTGGTCACATTCTGGTTTTTGATCTAGGAGCTGGTTACACACGTTGTGAGAATTCGTCCAGCTGTAACTCACAGCATATGTCCTCCTCACTGTGTATCTTCTACGTCCATTAAAAATATTAAATCAGTGCTTCCCACCTGCGTTCCATAGGACTCTGTTGCCTAAAGAAACGTTATGGGGTTTTTTTTCCATAAAAGAGTGGTTTCCATAAGTTTGGGAAATGATGGGAGAGATGCATTTTATATTTCTATTAATATAGAAATATTATAGGAGGTCTCCATCAAGGAGTCTGAACTCACTAAGCCTTCCTACCTGGCCTTGGGCCCATTCAGGATGCCCTGTTCAAGCTTTTCTAAGGTTTCCTCCAGCCCCTAAATTTTAGTCACAACAGAAACTGCATGAAAGGATGTGGACCTGCTCACATAATGTACCCCGATTGGAACCAAACCTCTCTGAGGACTGTTATCAACCTCTCTGATCAGCATCACCCCCTTTTCATGGAAGGGAGCACATTTTAAACATGGCACAGCCTGCTCCTGGGGGTACACATCTCCCTTCAGCACGCCTGCACCCTTGGGCTCCCAGAGCAGTGAGCTGGCACACAGCAGGGCATTTGCAAATACAATCTAGGGAAGGAATACAGAAAAGCATATTTTCAAATAGAGCTTTTTTGCAGCTATCAGGTAGTCTCATGGGTTCCCAGCCCATGAACCAGAGTTTCTCCCACATATCTGAAAACCCACCACAAGCTGATTCTTACAACCACCCCATTTTTCTGGTTGCTTCTGTCAAAGCATCACTTCTTTACAACCAGCACTTTGCTGGCTCACAGTGGGGCAAACAGCTGCATTCACTGAGTCAGACTCTTACCTATTTTAAATTATTTTCTGCTCTTGTTACCATGAATGAGACTGTGGAATATGAAGGCTGTCTCCACGCACAACGAAATAACAAGCAGTGTTCTGTGTTGTTATCTTTAGGACAATTTCTACAACTTTATTTATTGATTCAATCAGGTAGTTGGTTTACCTTTAGCTATTCATTTCTGTCAAGTTCTATAGTTTAAAAAAAAAACCCACCTAAAGTCAGTTCATTACCTCCTCTCTCTCTCTCTCTCTCTCTCTCTCTTTTTTTTTGGAGGAGGAAAGATGCATCTTCAAATGACAAACAATTTGCCTGAAGCCCATCATTTCTCTTCCTGGCAACTGAACATCAATCGAGTCCTTCCATTCTTTCTGCTATGATCCTAATCAGATATGCCACCAACTGCTCCTTAATTATACAAGGAGGACAAGAACAACCAGGCAGTATTACCAGCCAATGTCATAAGACAAGGCATTCATAATAACAGAGACACCAGCTTTATTACATTGATTTCCATATAATAAATAGAAGAATTAAATTATACATTTCAAAGAAAATCTAGAACAAGCTTAATAACACTGGGATGTCCAGTTTGAAACCCATTCGGATTGGAAAGTATGGCTGCAACATCTCAAAGCACACTGAGACCGTTTTACATACACCACACTATACCATGCTCCATGGATACATAGTAAGCATGATTATATGTGAGACCACAAAAGACGTTGGAAAAAATAAATGAAATCAAACTATGAGAGAAGTTTACAAATGTAACTGTCACAGCTATGGTTATACAATCCCGAAGCAAAGTTGAAAAGAGTGTAATAAAGTGACTGCTGGACTTGGTTCAGGTCCAAGACACAGTGAGCAGCCCTGAAAATAATATTTTAAATGTGTTTGCTTCAGAGAGAGGAAAAACATTGCCCAAAGAGCTGCAAGGAAAACACGTTCACTTAAGAGCAAAAATACTTAAACTTTTAATCAGAGAGAATTCTTACAACTAGGGAAAGGAATAATGAATGTCATGATTGGCTAATTCATATTCCTACAACCAGCCATCATTGCTCCTACCTCATTTAAGTCCTGCCGAGTTTCAAAAGCCTCCTTTGGCAAAATGGCAGCCCTCTGGTCTATTCTGTAAGATACAAAGAAAAATTATTTCAATTTAAAAGAAGCCATTCAACAATGCACATCTGAAGCTGGCAGCTACAGATCTGACTATAACCCTGTTAAAAGACCTCAGTGGTATCCCACTGCCCATAGAATCAAGTCCAGACTCCTAATGATCTGCAAAACATTACAGTGTTTGAATCCTGCCAGCCTCCCTGGCTCCACCTCCTATCACTCTCCCACGTGTCCCCTACACTCCAGCCTCTCTGGCCTTCTCTCTGTTTCTTCAACACATAATGCTGGGGCCCTGTGCAAACCTTCCCCCCTTGCTGTTGCAGACGCTCTCCCCCAGATCTTCATAGAGCTAACTGTTCTCAGCATGAAAGCATCAGCTCATCAGCTAGGCTCCCAACCAGACCTTCCTAACTTCCTAACGGTAGCCCTCCCCCACACTCTCATCACACTGTCCTTAGGCACTTTTCTTAGCATGCATCACTATCCGATAGCATGTTCATTTGCATTTCCCTATTAAAATGTAAGTTCCAACAAAGCAGTGATTAGATCCATTTCTACATTGCTAAAAAAATTCTTTTGAATGAATGAATGAATGAATGAGATCCGATACAGCTGTTGCAAGAGGACACCATTTGTTCACTGAAAAGAGCTTTTGGAAATCTCATTCTCTCTCTTAACTAAAACAATCAATGTTACAGCAACTGCTGGTAATACGGTGAAGTCAGCTTTTGCCACTACATAGTTACTAACAGAAGGAAAAGAACTTAAGATGGGCAAATCTACTCCGATTTATTTATTTATTTATTTATTTATTTATTTTAGTTTAAAAACACAAAACCAAACTCCACGACTGGCAGATGCTTAACTCTAAATCATGATTCATCAAATGCTACAGTCCAGTGGCATCTTTTACATAACATTCAAGTCTTTCTGTAGCAGTTTGCAGACTATATATAATAGCCATATTAAATTATAGTTATTAATTTATCTTAGTGAATAAAAAGCCCATTATCTTAGTGAATAAAAGATTGAGTCGGTGTTAGGTCATTTATAAAAAGATTTATTTGGGGACATAATTATTTACAGTTATTGCTCTGCCTCAATTTGAGCCCTGAAGAAAGCACAGATGTCCTCTGAGTGGTCAGCAAGATGAATGACTTCTAAAAGTCAGGATGTACATTTAGAAATGCCACAAGCCTCACTTTGAAATAGTCTTAAGCATGCAGAGTGCTTTCGGTCCACGGGCATTGCTAACTGTGCAAACAACTTATTTCTAATTAGAAAGGCAAAGAGATGGTTAAACAAAATTATCAAGGTCGCACTGACATCTACCATGTCTGGACAAGCCAGCATGTACCTCCTGAGGGTGACAGAAGGCTAAGAGTCCCCACCATGAGTTCAGGGAGAGAGTGTTCGAGGGAGAAAAGTAAGGAAGAAGAACGCTGGTACACTCATCTTATGTTCATCAAGTCCTTGAATCACAAACACAGTGATTTCAGGGCTTCAGAAAATACAAAGGAGCTCTTCCCTGAAAAATGGGGAAAACACTCCTGGGGATAGGGATTCATTCATTCTAGCCAGTAACATCCAACACTCTGAATGGCTCATAATTTCTTTGTAACTTACAGTGGTTCTCAAATTGTGCTCTATAAGTTATGGCAGCACCAGAAAAATGGAAGAGCGTTGTTCTTTAATGGAAAGAATAGTTATGTTTTCAAGCAGGAATTTCTCTCGGTCTGCGGTGCCAGCAGATGGTAAAACAGATACACAAGCAGCAAACAAACATTAATGGGAGAAAGCAGAAACAGACTTGGTTTAAAAATATAGTATGCCCCACCAACCCCAGAGTGGCTCAGCTGGTTGAACACTGCCCTGTTCACTAGAAAGTTGCCAGTTTGATCCCGGCCACGGCACATAAGGAAGGCAACCGATCAGTGTTTCTCCCTCAACTCATATCTCCTCTCTCTCTCCCCCTCTCCCTCCCCTCCTCCTTCCTCTAAGCGTGTCCTCAAATGAGGATTTAAAAAAAAAGTTAAAATGTAGTATGTATTATTGAGATGTACAGTAATATACTCAAATGATCTTCCAGGAAAACTATTCGTAATCTCCAGATCAAGTTTGAGAATTATGGTCTAAGCATTAAAGGTGCTTCAATTTAATGATCATCTGAGTATCTCCTATGTGCCTGGTACATTGTTGGGGAGATAATAATCGATAAGCAGCATTCATGCCTTTCGGAGGCTTACAATCCAGTGGAATCTTGAGCAGAGGATGAAACTAACATCCAGCCTCCATGCTGTCTCAGTAAGTCAGGGATCAGCGCACATAACTGGTATTAGAATGATGGAGAGGAACTGGGGAGGTAGAGACAGATCACAGAGATGTTTTCAAGTATAGAAACAATCAAGAGGTCCTGGGCGGTGTTGTGCAGTGGTTACAGCATCAGCTCGTGCACTGAAGGGTTGAAGGTCTGGTTCCTGGTCAAGGGCATGTACCTGGGCTACAGGTTCCGAAATCTGGCCCCACTCAGGGTGCGTGCAGGGAGCAACCAATCAACATGTCTCTCTCATATCTATGTTTCTAGCTCTGTCTCTCTTTCTCTCTCCCCTCCCTCCATCCCTCCCTTCATTCCACTCTCTGAAAAATCAATGAAAAAAATACACTCGGGTGAAAATAAAAAATAAATAAAAAAAACGATGAAGAGGTCGTGGATATGGATTCAAAGTATGAAAGGAAAGAAATGGAATAATCAAACTTATTCCAAGGTCTTGAGCCTGTGTGATAAGAAAAATGACACGTGGCTTTTCTAATGGTGATATAAAAAATGTGCAATTTTAGTGAGGAGAAGGAGAAGCAGGCATAAAGAGAAGCAATTCGTGAGTTTAGGTTTAAATATTTGAAGCTTGGGGTGAGGCTGGAATAGGGAATTGAAAATACCTAACCAGGGCTCCCCCTGAAACGGGTGCTCCATAGTGTTCAGCAGTAAGAGTGCTGACCTGCCAGTGACCAGCAGTCACAGGCTCTGCCCTGGGTGCCTCCTCATCGTGTGGCCAGAGCCCAGCATCGAGCCTGCCACACGGTCCACGCTCAGTACATGTCTTTCGGATGGACGGATAAACAAAGAAAACAGAAGGACCCAAATCCAAGAACGTGTTCTTGATCTACTGTGTAGTAGAGGTGTGTACCCATGGGCAAGAGATTATCTGTATGCCTCAGTGTCCTTGTCTGCAAAGTGACAATAATGATAGCAAGCTGGGAAGGATGGTTCATGAATAATGCTTACTACTACTGTTAGTTATATCAAAATAATCCATGCATTCTATAACCATATACAAAAATGTCATAATAATGATAATAATTATATATTTTATTATTAATACTACTAATAATAATTGAAGCCTATGAATACATAAGCTGAAAGAGATCAAAGCTGGGACATCCTGCCTCAGGGCCACTAAGCAGGTCTCTGAAACTGGCTGGTTTGGGACAGAAGAAAGGAGAGTCATGAAGAAAATGGACACATCACTAAGGAGGCAACAGGCGGAACAGGACAGCACTCTAAGTGCTGAAGAGAAAGAAGGTACGAGAAAGAACAGTGTCCAGAAGAACTAACGATCCACCAGCCCTTACCACGCCAGGCTGGTCGTCCAGGCAGTACCTTATTTCCCTTCATCCTCATGGTCGCTATGTGAGATTAGGCTTATACCACCCATAGCTCTGTGCCAGGTGCCACGGAAGGTGTCAGGAATACAACAGTGAATAAAGCCAAGTCTCTGCCCTCATGCACCTTACATTCTTGCAGAAGGAGAGAGCCAGCCTAAGGAAATGACCCAGTGGTCTCTGGTGCGCCAGATGCTAACATGGAGAAAAAGAAGGAACGGGCTGCCCAAGCTCACACTGCTGGAAAGTCTCAGTCAGCGGGAGAGAACGAGAATGAAAGTGTACAAGTAAGAGATCACTGGATCGCAAAAGACAGAGGGCACGGCAGAAGAGGAAACAGAAACAACAGCTTCTCACGAGAGAAGTTTCGCAAGGAAAAGAGAACTGAGACAGTAGCTAGGTATCACAAATTCCCTTCTTTTTAAGATCTTTAAAGATACTGCTTGAATCATTTACAATCCCAGCTAGAAGCTGGCCTGAACTCAAAACTGGATCACACTGAAACACTCCCTCTGGCTCTCTCTCCTCCCTTCACCCAAAACAACAGAAAGGAGATCAAGTACATCTCTTTCAAATGCAGTCAGAGTTCTCTGCCAGCTTCAATACCACCCTGCCCCTGGCCCGGGTCCAGGCAATGGGAAATGCAGCGTGGACTCCTCAGCGCCCGACTGTGGCTCTCAGCCTGGTCAGAATGCAAAGCCTTCGAACACCACCGCATCACCACCCCATCGCTGCTGCCACCACCACGACACAATTCAAAATAAAAGCACTTCTCAACAGAGAAACACAACCCTGAATTGTTTGCTAATATTCAAAGAGCATCTTGCTGGATTCTGTGGCTGCAGAATTATGGCCAGCCAAATAAAGCGCAACTTTTCTAAAAACATTTGGTGTTCCCACATTGCTGAAACCCCAAAGCATGTGCTGAGCCAGACCGAGGGCCACCCTGCTGTGGCCTTCCCCCGTGGAGGTACACTGCAATCCCAAACAGCACAACGAACAGAGCACGAAGACATTTTTCTTGGCCTGAGAATAATGTCAAACCACAGATGTGATAATTTGTGAAGAAGCAGGATTTTAGCGTAGGATTTTTGATTTACAGCAACATTTCAACTACCCATAATTAAATTAGCAGATGAGAGTGTTCCCTAAGTCCGTGAAAAGCGTTCCCGTCTGCCCAGCTGCTCATGGAAGGCATCCGAGAGTTAACTGACACTTTCCCTCGAACCCAATAGCAAATTTATTACCAGCCCTTCAATTCCTTTTGCATCTGTCCTCTCCCCACCACCTTAGGTCAGGCCACCATCACCTGTCTTCTGGACTGCCTCCCTGGTCTCCCTGCTTCTCCTC